AAATCAGAAGGCAGCACAGCGTCCGGAGGGAGTGCATGCGTGCGTGTGCGTGTGTGTGTTTCTAATGCAATAAAGGGCTTTGTCTGTCTGTCTGTGTGTCCATAATGCTTTTGGTCAACTGCGCATGTGCTGCCAAGAGGGCAGGCAGCAATTGGCTGCTCAGGCCTGGGCAGGGAAGGGGTGGAGGTGGGTGCACACACACACACAACAACTGGCAGGGAGGAGGAGGCGGTGGGGACAGAGGGGAGTGGGGAGGGGAGGGTAGACAGCAGGGAAGCCCTGTTGCTCAGGGGAGGAGGTGGGCAGGGGGAGGGAGCCCCTGTGCTGGTGGCAGGAGGAGGTGGTGGTGGCACAGCAAGTGTTTACATGGGTGGCCCTGGGAGGGGGGCGGGGGGTGCGGCCACATAAACACTCCTTCATTATTTTAAATTTGTTATTTATGACGGCAATTGGCTAATATATGTATATGTATGTATATACAGGTTTCCCTTGCTTTATGCAAATTCTGTGTGTGTGAATTCACTTATGCGATGACCCTTTTTATACCAAAAATTGGTTATATGTGAGTTAAATTCACTTGTATGTGATCATTGTGGTGGAAGCCCACAGCTGCTTTGTGCATTGTGTTGTGGGAGTGATGTGCACCAAAGTATAGTCTCCTGTGTGGATCTGTGCTTCTCGCTCATTGTCTGCAGCATGTGTTTCTGTACTTGCCATCCCCATTATAATAGTGCCCTGTGCTTGTGTGTACTGTTTGCTGTTGGTGAGTACCAAAATTGTCTTGTAAAAAGTGGTAGAAATGGGTCAGGGTTTCAGTACAGTCAAGGTATTTGTTGCATTGTAAAGTGGGTTCCCTTTATACAAATTTGAGTTATGTGTTGTATTCCAGGAACGCACATACAAGCGTTAAGTGAGGGAAATGTGTGTGTGTATCAGAAGGCAGCAGGGTGGCCAGGAGGGAAGGGGAGAGGGCTGAGGCAGGGTATGTTTATATGTGTATATAAGTGTGTGTGTGTACACACTTATATACACACACACACATATATATAAAAACCTGTATAAGTAGAGGACGTTAAACTTATTTTTAAAACTATATTTACATCCCTACCTTTAGTAATTGTAACAGTTTTATAAACCTGTAAATGTAAATCATAATTTTTTTTTCAAAATATGTTTGCTTTTGACAGCTAAATAAAATCCAGAACCTCTAATCATGGGGAACAGATAGAATCTCTTCCATTTGTTTTTAAGCAGGGGCTTAACTAATGTCCAGTCTGGATGTGAACTCATTTATCTTTAGTAGGGGCTTAATGTGTACAAGAAATGGAAAAGAATTGGGCTTTGGAATATAAAGGGAAAGTTCCAGGAGTGGCTAGAGGCAGAGAATAGAAATATTTGAAGGTAACTAGAGTTCATTCATTCTTTTTGATTTCTTCAACCCTCATGTGAGAGAATTTAAAGAGCAAGAGAGAGTCTGATGATTGCTTCCTGTATAAAGAAATACCTTTTCTTTCTGCTCTTAATATTTTTGTGGTTAAGGAGAACCTCTTGGATTTTTCAAGTTTAAATCTGTTTTAGTTTGTTTATCACTTCTTAGCATTCACTTATGTTTGAGACTCAATTTAAAAAATATCCTTTTAATGGAAATAACTGCAACTTTTTGTAAAGTTGTGTGTTTACAACTTGCAAAGCAGAATCTGCTTGACTTTTAAATCCATATTAAAAATAGGTCATAACTGTCTTATTGTGGCAGTCATTGTTAATTATGAAGGCTCGTAGTTATTGTAGGCGCATTTTATAAATAGGAGTCTTGTTTTTAAATGCATGTTACTTGGAAGGTAGAGGGGAAATTGTCACCAGGCATGACTTTTAATGTTCTAGATAAGACTTCGACAACAGGTCTGATTAATGAATAAAATAAACCAAATCACAGATCTTTTAAAGCTATTGATTTTAAAAACATTTGGATTACATTTATAGAGTAAGAGTACTGAAAACAAGCAACTTATGAGCCTTGCAAATCTGCCTTGACGGTCTAATTAAGTATAGTTTTTCATTATGGATCAGATTTCTAATAGTATTTAAGTTCTAAAAATGCAGACAGCCATATAGTGGGTTTTCCACAAGAATTCAAGCCTTTCTGGATATCCAGCTAGGCATCTAAAGATGCATATAGTCATGTTTTAAGTACCTTTTAAAAACCTGGCTCTAGGCACAATAGATAAAAGAAGCTAAATGAAAAAAACAAAACAAACAGCATAACTTTTATTTTCTTTTTTAAACTTCCTTGCAGCTGTTGCTTTTAAAAATGCCAAGCAGTATGACCAGGCAAAGGAAGCCTGTTTGAGAGAAGCTGAAGCACATGAAAATAATAAAGCGTATCTTTTGACTTACTGTTCCTGTTTGAGGAGCCTGAAGAATCTGAATTGTTAATTAAAACTGGGCTGATGAGAGTTAGAAGAGGGTGTGCTATTTATTTATAAATGTATGAATGAGTAGAGGCACAAGATTAAGTTGTTTACTAAGTAATTTACATTGCCAGACTTTCTGAATTATCTTTGAAACATCTCCCAAGGGGTTTGTTGGGTTTTTTTTACCTTTCCAGTGAAGAAAAGAAGCTCTTTTGGAGCAGGAACTGTCTTTTTGTTCTGTTCGTGTTCAGTGCCTTCCACAGTGGAGGCATGGTGCGGCACTACTGCCAGACACACATTTTAAAACAGATTCCAGTGCTCTGGTTTCCTTTCAGGTCTTTTTGTTACATGTATATATGCCTTAGATGAGATCTTCTGTTTGCGTTTGTAATGTGCCTTCCACATAGAAGGAGTCTATCTACAAAAATGTATTATATTTTTGCAGTAAATTATAATTTGTCTCTATCCTTGAAATGTATTGTATAGAAATGGATTATAAAAATTAAGTCATTCTAAAATATTAATCTATCATTACAGTATTTTAATACAGTATAACCAACACTTCCTTCAGTTTTATGTAATTGAGTTTCACCTGTGGTTTTATATTAGCTCTTAAATTCATAATCTGCCCTTAAATTTATTTTTAAAAAAACATTTTTGCATGCATGCCCTTACTAAATTAATTTTGCCTTTCAGTGTTACCTGGGAAACAAATATTCAGATAATGGGATTATTTTGCTTACAACTTTCATAAATTAATTGTGCTATATAGAAACCTGTCATTTTTATAGTTGATATCCTTAACTTTGCTTCTGTTAAATCCAGTCTCTTCCATGCAGCCAAGTAAGTGTAAATTTCTCAGGCAATTTAACATGTATCCAAGTTTGCAGTATACATCTAAAGTTGAGATTGTTTTAGAGATGCCTAATTTTGATTCCATGGAGCTAAATGGAAAAGCATCATTTGATTTCACTGATTCAGGGTCAGGTTTACTTAAGGATTTTTTTGGGGAAGTATTTGGAAAGTTGGAACTTCTTAAAATTATAGAGACTTGTGGCTTTTCGGCACGTTTTAGAATCAATTTCTGTAACTCTGGGATTGATTGTTTATGTCAGTGGTGCTCAACGTTATGGTCCCATAGGACATGTACATGGCGTGAGGTCAGTCTGTGGGTTTATATGTAGATGAGGCACAGGACAACCTGGTCCAGCTTCACCTCATGAAATGCTGAGCCATGCTAATTGTATGTCAGACTGAGAGAAGGGCTGACAGAGGAATTCTGGGTATGCAGTGTCGTGGCTCACCATGACTTGAAAAAGAGTTGGCGGTAGGGGGAACTGTGCTTAATGGGCACTACCATACATCTTAAGTAAAGACCTCAAGTAAATATGGTATTCTGTAATATTTTTTGAAAAGAACCCTTTTGTTAATGTTTTTATTATTATGTGCCTTATTGCCAGTGTTGCCTCTGAAGTGAGAACACATGTTTCCTGTCCTCCTATTAATCCAGCTGTAGATGAATACGGAAAAGATTAATTGTTTGAAGCACCAGTGTGAAATTGTGCGCGCGCACACAATGTTATAGAAGCAAAAAAAAAATTGGGCCTGGAAACTTAATTCTTTTTTCCCATGCTTTGAATAAAGTCAAAATAATTTGCCCATGGAAATGGTCCCTTGCATATGTGCCATTTCTTAAAATAAAGCTTAATGTATGCTTGATGGGATGTATGTCTTTTCAAATATTAGCACTAAAATGTTTGATTCACCACTAGTTGATATACAATAACTCTTACTGTATAGTAAGATATGCTGCTTCTAGTTACTGAAATTTAACAGCGTTTGAATAAAACTAACTTCCTTTCTCTCTGCAGAGCTTATGAACAAGCTGGCATGATGTTAAAGGTATTTTTATTGACCGTTTTGTTGAAAACAAATACATGACAACTGTGCTCTGGTTAATTTTTACAATCTGAAGAATATTCAGGTTGTGTTATCAGCATTTAAAATGGTGCTAACATTTCTTCTATAAACCTTTCCTACCTTCTGACCTTTGGGAGGATTTTAAACATGTACCATTCTATTTTGGTTAGAACTTGATTAATGAAAATATTTTAATTCGCCTCTTCTTCCTCTCCCTCATGCCTGTCAGAATCCTGAGGGTGATTTTGCATGCAGTAGCTAACCAATAATAGAAGAAATTATTCAGTAGTTAGTAAAGTAGTGTTTAGTAAACTAAGATAGCTATATCCTTTCAGTCAATTTAAGGAGTTTATGATCTTCTATTAAATAGTTAAATAGATTTTTCAGAGACTTATAGTATTTCATTTGAACCCTGAAATTGGAAATGTAAGTGTATGTATGGACTCGTGAAAGCGTGTCACCTAAGCTAAATGTACCCCTCAAACGGAAAGTTGGGCTACCAGGGAATAGTTGCACGTTTTCCTATTGAAATGCAAGAAAGAGAGAAAGGGGTTGCTTTTCTGGTTCTGTAGCTGTACTATGTGAATGCCCATGATGTTACTTCACCATAGAGTTGTTCCAAACCCAACAAACTTCATTTCTCAAATGCAGCTGCAGAGTGAGACAGGAAGGATATCTTCTAAGTTTGTTTGTGTGGGATTGTGAATCCTTGACTAGTTTTCTTTGTTGGGAACTGAAATATCCAAATGAATGTAATACAATTCAGAATGCTTTCATTTTGTCTTCTGTATGTTAGCCTGCTTCTTGATGTTTCTTCCAACTCGCACTTATAGGAGATGCAGAAACTTCCTGAAGCAGTTCAGCTGATTGAGAAAGCCAGTATGATGTACCTGGAGAATGGAACTCCTGACACAGCAGCCATTGCACTGGAACGGGGTGGAAAGTAAGTGTGCAGAATTGACAGCTGGGATGCACTGCAAAGAATGGTTACTTTCTGTTCTTTCAGACTTTTGCTTGTTTAGGAAATGAAATGTTTACTGTTTTGAATTAAGGAGAAAAATGCTGGTCTGTTTATTTCAGGCTGGTAGAAAATGTGAACCCAGAAAAGGCTGTACAGCTCTATCAACATGCAGCATCAGTTTTTGAAGTAGGTGCTGTTATTTTTCTTTTATTAAAGAATATCATTTTTACCAGACAAGGCATATTGAGTAAAAGAAAAATATATTTAGGGTTAGTCAGAAATCATAATTACTTGAAACAGTTAATGGTAGCTAGAGCTAGAGTGCTTTGCTGTCTCTTGTTCCTTATTATCACAACAGTGGCTGTTCTGTACAGGAAGTCACTTGGCTCCTGCTTGAATATTAAGTATAAAAGTAGGGAGTGCAACTTTTTTTTTCTACCCCTACTTCTTCCTCTATTGCGCAGGTTCTGAATTTCATGGCCTAGCTACATTCCTCCCACTTGCTGGCAGCCCAGACATCATAGTTAGAAAGCAAGGTGTTGGCCAGAGCCACAGAGGGCATAGTAGAACCCCTCATACATCAATCTCAGTTGATGTCTTTTAGTATTTGTTTGTGTGTATGTACACTTTTATTTATATATATATTTTGAGAAAAGGAAAAACTGCAAAGTCTTACAACAACTAACATATGAAATTTTGTTCCCATTAGAATGAAGAACGTTTACGGCAGGCTGTAGAATTATTAGGAAAGGCCTCAAGAGTCTTAGTTAGAGGACGCAGGTATAACTCTTATATCTATATTCTGTTTAAATATATTCAAAATCTTTTTCACTCGATTATATTGACTTTCTTTGAATCAACATACTTGCTGTATGTTGATCCTTTACTCTTTTTAAAAGATGTGGAAATAGATAGCTATACTATGCTTGTTAAGGCAAGGGTCCAGTTAAATTTTCTATAGGCTGTACCTGACTGCTCTGTTCATCAGTGCATTATCTGCTTTTCTGAAATCACAGTTGCTCTTCTTCAATATTAATTTTACAGTATTAAAGAAGAGTAACTGTGATTTTCAGAAAAGCTGGTTCTCTTAGTCTTTAAAGTAATATGTACGTACACATGACTTATTCTTCACAAAACAGCTGTTTAATGATTTCTGGATATTCTACTCATACTTGAGTCATGTAAATTAAGGGAATTATGTAACTTGGCTGAGAAAAACAATTGATATGCAGGTGTCTGACTTTTTAAAAATCTTTTGATAAAGACACTTGTCTGAAAAGTATTTAAGAGCCTGAAAACTCACCACTCCATATTTATGGAATACAGGTAAAAATATATGTGACTTTCTTTTCAAGCACACTTATTCGTTTGCTTTAAAAATGCACATGCTGTCCAATGTAATAAAGCTTGCAGTCCTGCTAAAAGTGAAATTTATCTAATTTTACATGTAGATCTTTCTCATCAGAGTTAATGTAGTAGATGCATCATTCATGTATATTTAAAGCACATAAGCAGAGTGGGGAGGCGTATGGAAAAACAAAACAAAACTGGGTAAGTGCCAAGCATTTGAAATGCAAACAGATAATTCAGTAGCTGGTATGTGCCCATTCTAGGCAGTGGCAGACTCATGCTCCAGGCTGGTTCTGTCAAAGGTGCTACCTCACTGGATGGCACTTGTGTTTTCTAAAAATCCAGGGCTGACATCTGTTAAATAACAAGCTGTCTTGGTGTACTTGGTAGTTAACCTTTCTTTAGTTTTGGTAGCGTATAGTAACCTTAACTTGTTTAAAGGTTGTAGTGTAATGGTGCTGTTTTGGAGTTGCTGTGTTTCTGCTGTGTGTTCATATGTAACATCTGGGTTGGATGTACCTGATGTGTGGTTCACTTCCGGTACCTGAAACAAGGTCTTCCATCATAACTGATCACCACATTCTATGCATACAGATGTTTTGTTTTGCATTATTTAAACAGGGACCTGCAAAGTGCTGAGCATTCCGGTGGGATGCTGCTATCTTTTAAGTATTGGATTCTATCAGGCTGCTCAGCATCTGTCTGGAATGACCTGTTAACTTGCATTTTTGGGGGCTGCGCAGTTCACCACAAGAGTTTATTTTATTTTCTGAGCACTGAAGTCTAACATTATAGAAATATTTTGACTTATTCCACAAAGACTGCCAGTTACCAGACTTGTCAGCCAAAGGTGTACCAACAAGAAAAGGAATGCTAGAAATGTATGGTGCATAAGCTTTACCAGGGCTGTGATGTAACGTAACTTTTTACAGTGTATGACACTGGGCGCATCTACAAGTGAAATTAATGCAAAGCAATATTGCATATTGCACCAGAGTTTATTGCTCCTGAGTGCTGTGTTTACACATGCTCCTGGGACAGCATGCTGAGCTGGGTCAGACCCCAGCCGGTAGGGTTCCCAGGAGATTAACCTGCCAGCCCGGCTCTATGCTGTGGAGGCACTGGGTAGGGTACAAAGGTGCTCCAGTGCGGGGCTAACTGTTTACAAAGAATAACCTATGGTGGAGTTAATTAGTTTACTGTGGCCTAATAAGGCCATATGTGTAGACGCTGAGACTTTACTGCAGAGCTAATTGGGTATCTCTGCAGTAAAGGTCTCATGTAGATGTGGGCAGACAAAGTGTTATGGGTAAATACGATATCTTTTATGAGCCCAACTAAAATAGATGAAAAATTTCTTCTTTGCAAGCTTTCAGGTACAAACACCCTTTGTCAGGCTGAGAAAGCATCTGCAGTTGGTCTGTGCTCTTCCTGAATGGTATAGAAAAGAAGCCAGAGGCCAGTATGCATGAGAGAGACAGTCAGTGAAAATGCAAGTTGACGTAGTCAGTGGGTGAGAGACAGGTAGGGGGGAGAGAGGGGAATGTAGACCTGGTGATAAGAATATAGCTAATAAATAGTAGAGAGGTTACCTGGAGTGTCAGATGTTAGACAGGTTATAATGTGTCATAAATCCAGTATCTTTATGTAGTCCATGATTTTTTTGTATCCAGGAGGTTGATGAAATGGAGTTCATAGACTCATCTGTGAAAGGCATTTTGTAAATCCTCTTTGAGGATTAGAACTGAGAGATCGGGGAGAGTGGTTTTATTGTGAGAAATGTGCTCCTACATGTAATTGGGTATTCTTGTCTTTGATAGATTTTCATTTTGCGTTCATTCTGGTATGCAGTTGTTTGGTTTTTCCTACATATTTTCCATCAGGGCATTTGGTGCACTGGATGAGATGTATTACATTTCTGGAGGTGCAGGTGTAAGATCCAAGAATCCTGATGGTTCATTTGTGGGGGTAGTTATTGCGGGGATGGTGAAGATATGTTGGGAGGTTTTACATTTCTTGTCATGGCACAGTCTGGATCCATTTGGTGTGTTATGGGCCGTAGGAAGATTGCTTCTGGTGATGAGGTTGGTGAGGTTTGGTGCTTGTTTAATAGGATGGGCTGTGCTAGGAAGATGTCTTTTAAGAACTGGGTCCTAGGATCATAGGAAGTTAGGATTGGAAGGGACCTCAGACGGTCATCTAATATAACCCCCTGCTCAAAGCAGGACCAGCTCCAACTAGATTGTCCCAGCCAAAGGTTTGTCTACCCAGTTTTTAAACACCATCAAGGATGGAGATTCTACAACCTCTCTGGGTAACCTGTTCCAGTGGTTTACTACCC